TTACCATGTTGTATTGGATTATTCTTTATAAAATTTTCTTGTTACAAGTACTTTATAAGTTTCATGCTTTATTGTATTTCAGTTAGCTACAGCATCTGGATCTACTTTAGGTGCCATCCTAACACTTTGTGCTAATGCTTCAGTCACCGGTGAGTAATAATGTAGCTAAAATAATTCATTAAATTCCAGTTATTTTATAACCCGTCAGAGTACTCTGTAATTCCTTCCAGCATTTACAATTTATATTGCTTTTCTGCTTTACTTAATTAAAAATTACTCCATAGATGAAGTTGATAAAATTAAGTGATTTCAACCCCAATGTTTTTTATAACTAGCATTATAAACATTTTGTTTGTCAGGACTCGATGTGATCTAAGTTATTTATAAATTCTTTCTCACTGAGAAAAGAAAATGTGAATGCAAACATGAAAAATCAATGTAAATTTTTTATTTTTATTTCTAATTAAAGAATCAACTGTACGTTTAATATGAATTAAAAGCTATGCTTTGTTCGTTTAAATTTTCATGTCCTTTAGTTGAAAGCATTTTGCATATGATTACTAATAATACAAAATGCTAACTGTTTGATTATCTACTGTTAAATATTCAGCAAATGGTCTACTTTTTGTAATTCACGTATTAAGAGTCATATAGATTAGTTGTTTTAATGAAGGTACTGTCTACATATCTGAGTGTTTAATTTAATAAATAACAACCTGAACCTACCTCATCTATTCCATTCTGACAACAGCTGACTAAAATCATTGATATTCACATGAATAGGTTTACCCTCAACTCCATTTCAAACTATACATTATCTAGTAGAACTATGCCTATGTAACCAGATGATGATATTCACAAAACAACAGGTTAAAATTCCTGGATCTATGCTGAATTCTAGAAATACAAGGCATTTTAATTTTGTTACCATTCATTGAGTTGGATAATTTAATCGTAAAAGTTTTTTACACATAGTTCTGAGTTTCAACTTGAAAAATAAGTTTATGTTTATAGCTTCTTTGTAAAGTAAAGATAGTAAGAGCCATACAACTGCACTACTTATTTCAAATAATATGAATCATTCAAAAGATCCTACCAACTTTGTCCAAAACACTCAAGATCAAGAAATATGGTACAGTATAAATCTAATCAATTGTTCTTGATAACTCCGTCTTTCCCTAATCGATTCTGTCGGCCATTCAGTCAGTCAGTTACAACGTAGAACGTCGTACGCGAGTACATCAGTTCAGGTTTCCATACCACATTAGCACAGAGATGCAATTGTCAGTTCAAATCCCATAGTAGTGGAGATAGTAGAAGAATTAGCAGTAATGGAGAAGATTAGGGTCCGAAGCTATGATTCGACAAGTATAATTCAGTGAGATAACTTTAGAAAGAGAAAGATAGAGGTGTTGACGAATCCAGAGGATCAAAATTCGAGAAAACACAAAGAGTGGATGCTGCATCTGCGCCATTGCAAACGATTTTAAGCCGTTTCATTCAAGGTCTCTAACCATCGGTGACTTTCGTCTCGCGGACCACAACCAGGTAGTCGACACCTACCAACATGACTCAATCCCTTTGTCAACGACTTCATAGTTTTGTGTCATGTTTTAGTCTGGTCACCCATAGCTTTCTTCCAACCTATTCTTACATCTCAAAGCATAGCTCGATGAGGCAGTCGGTGGGTAGGCATACGTAACAAGTGTCCTAACCACCTCAGCTGATGAAGTTTCAATACTTCGTCTATTGATCTTGCACCCTTACCTTGTACTCGTTTCCTAACTACATCATTACTTACTCGGTTGTCTCACAAAACACGAGCAATGCTTCTAAGACATCTATCATCGAATAGTAAAAACCTACGAATATCTTCTACTCTAACGGGCCATGTTTCACATCTATATAATCGATTACGGACAAGAAGCAAAAATCCCTATTTACGTTACACTGAACTACACTGAAATATGTAAATATATGTTTAGTAAATTCATTTGTCTAATTAATTTATAGAAATCTAGTATGTTTAAACTGAATTAATTCTGTTAGTTTTGTTTGAAATTTCTAAAATTCCAGTCTATTATAAACAATTTATTTTTATGTTAAACTGACTATACACCTAGTTTTTATCATTGTTATTGTTAATAATAATGATAGACTTAATTTTTGTTACATATTCTATGCATAAATGAAATAATCCATAATATATGTGGACCATATTCTACCCTATACATATACATATATATGCCATTCACAATATAAGGATAGTAATTTATAATAACAACAATCAAAATTAAGTATCAGTTTTTGATCGTTGGTTATAATCATTTCATTTAGATTGAAATTAGCGTAATGACACTTGAGTTTACTGAATAAACTGTCGTATTTACTTAATGTTCATGTCTATGTAAATTAGTTGTACGAAAAATACTATTTTATAGTTTGTATATAAATTCGTCTGTTCAGGATAACTGCGAAAAAAAAGTTAATTGATGGCTAGCAGCAGGATCCAGAATGCAAGTTTCTTCTTAGATATCCACACAGGGATTCGAACCAAGTACCTTTCGTCTTGAGTTCTCAACGACTTATCGACTTAGCTCTTGAGTCTAAATATCCACTGGCTCAACAACAACTATTTATTGAAAGGCACATTTAATTGTTTACTTAAAGTAAAAAATAAAACTGAAACAGGATCCTTATGAACTTAGATTTCGAAACAGAACTTGTAACATCTCAAACTAATTCGTTTCATAACCTTTAAGACAGGGAGGCATAAAGTTATAATTGATTAGATGATGTTACTCCGATGGAAAAGTTCAACTTTCTTGAGTGTTGGTTGTCGAACAACTTTTTACTCTTTTGCCATTAAACTTAAGTTTATTTTATAGGCGTCGATAAGTTTATTAAAACCTACTAACAACTATGAACATAATCTGTATCTAGTAACTGAAATTTTAATGTTCCAGTTATTTGTGATTTCCCAATATATTCTATAAGTATCTCTCTTTAGTGATGCTGATAGAAATCGTTGAACTATAATTAGTTAGCCTTTGTATGTAATCCGACATATTAGCCATATAAAATATCACAGCTATTTTCGACAATGATATAACGAGATGAAATAGTAAAATTACACTTTCGCCTCGTTGTGACTTTCATTTAACATGAAATCTGTTTTTTTTGTTCAACATGATGATTATTCATTATTTTCTATGTGGTATCTAATTCAGTATGATATTGATTTATTTCAGTCAGATGTTTACTGATGTTGTTTGAATTAACATTAAAATCCCTAGATCAATCAGAGTTAGACATTAACACCGTTGGATGCCAGCCCAGTGGTCCGATGGTAAGGCGTTCGTGCACAATACCGAAGGTCTCGAGTTCGAATCGTGCGAGGTTCAGGAGTCGTGGATGCGCACTGCCACTGATGAGTCCAATACCAGGACGAAACGGCCTTCCAGTGCTTTCTCCAGGTTTCTAATAGTGGTGATCTAACAATGATTGATTGATGATTTCAAATGTGTAGAAAAACACAAATCTCCAAAACACCAACTGAAAATATTAATTATTTTATACGAATCTTCATCAATTTTTAAATGAATATTTCGACAAAAATCAAGGAACACTGAGTATATAGAAGATGTGATTTATGAAAATTATATTTGAAATTTAAATAATATATTTTGTCTAGAAAACTTGTCTAGACTTCATCAAGGTACTAAAAAAAAAAGAATCAAAATCATGCAAAATGAACTATGTTCATACGTTTTTGTTATAATATCATAGTAGGTTACTTTTTTTTCTAATTAATGATCAAATAGGTATACAAATGAATATACCGATGAGTGTGTATTTTTGCCCAGAGTTGTCACCATGTTTTGTATTGTGGTGACCAATTTCTACGTGTTCTTAGTCTTCGTAATTAGCTCGTCCAGACAATCGTTACTAAATAGCGTCTGACGGTTTATAAATCAGAAGGTGAATTCGAAGTGTTGAATACGTTTATTTTTGGCACACCACAAATAGGGATAGCAAACCACAAGCAGACCGGGCAGGCACACTAGCGAGTGAATGGGCGAATGTGCAAATGAATTAATAAGATTAAATATGTTCGTATATATACATAAGAAGATATCTGAGTCATCGAGGTATTTAAGAGATTCACATTAAAGCAAATGGGATTAGTAAGCGCGTAAGCGGCGTAAACAATGTTCAGCCATACCAGCTCATACAAACAAGACAATACAAAATACCAATGGTGTACAATATGAGTTGTTGCTATACAAATAGCTTGGTTAAATAAGTTAATCGAAAGGCTTAATCAAATTAAATATAAGCGAACTCAAATATATGTGAAGGCACTACAGTATAAACAACTCTTCACTTGTGTTCTTAACTCGCATCGAACGAATGATAGTGGTTACTTGTTTCTTTTTTAAGAATCATTAATAGGGCGACTTAGATAAAACAGAAGCATGAACCCGTGTTATGACAGACAGTAATTTGATTTATGATCTAATACTACCACTGATCAATATTATCATTATTTATTTACTTAAACTTTAATAGTCTACTTATATGAAATAAAAAATTAGTGAGAGTAATATTCTACAATTTTTACAGGTTGTACAACAAAATGGATACTTCCTTTTACTGCTGGCGGTTTCTTGTACATTGCATTAGTCTCTCTTTTACCTGATATTTTAAAAGAATTATCATTTAAGTAAGTTGTAAAAGTTTTTAAAATTCTTCTTGTTGTAACGCTTACTTAAATAATTCCCAGCTAAATCCTATTGCTTAGTATTCTTTGACCATAATACAGTTGACAAGTTCCCAAGAATCAAAAAACACGGTTGAACAGGAAAAGATTATATTCCAAATAGCAAGGTTAAATGGAAATAAAAAGCCAAAGGTGATGGCGAAGGCGAATGCAAAAAATAGATACAACGTTAGTTTATTTATAGCATTTACATGAGAAGCTTCTGGATAGAAATTCACGTGATCGACTGGATTAGATTTAGCCAATCAGCATGCAGCTAACAGTACGAGAATCTTCTACCCTGTTCTCCAAGATTCGATCAGGCGCTGCAACGTAGTCATGCTTTAATTCATCTATGTCTCCCAAACACTTCTAAAATAGTTAAATTAAAAATTGTGTAGTTTTCATATTTTCATAATTATTATACATATTAGTTTGCATTGTTTTCCTTTTTTGAGACTTGTGTAAATTACGCATATTAAAATTGCTCATAACATTTTAGAAATTTTTTTAATGTAATAATAACTTGCCCATTTGTTTTTGAGCTAATAAACTTCATAAGCCTTTTTTAATGAAAACTTGAGATATATATATTTCTAAAATAAAATGCTAAATATTTTTGTTATAGCTATCTTTTTCCTATGTATAAACATGTCAAATTTATGTCTATCAAGAAAACACAGAGAGAGAAGTTTATAGCTTATCATTAGAGGAAATCCAATGAAACAGTTGATGATCAACACTTATTGAATCGCTATGTAAATTGATTTTCACATATTCTTTCTCACAAACGTCACCACATGTAAACATGTCATTTTGATTTGCTTGATCTATTATGAGTTTACCTTAGTCGCTAAACGAGAGCGAGGATCCGGTAACACAACATGCTAATCTAATCCGTTTTTCCCAAACTCCGATTGAGTAAAAGAAGAAGATTTGAATTGAAGTAGAACATGTATTCTACAAGCATATTGAAAAGTACGAGGTCCGAGTCCAGAAGAAGACACAGATCCCGGAATGAGGATCCAGGTCAAGGTCATAAATCGTTCCAGATAATACGCATTTATACGTCGAGATCGAATAGGAAACAGCATCGAAATCTGTGGCTTGATATACTTGAACTATTGCGGGTTTATCTTGTCAGAAAACGAGAGCGAGGATCCGGCGACACGACAGGCTACTCAAATCCGATTATCCCAACCCCCATATTTAGTAGAAATAAGAAGACTTGATATGAAGTGGAACCTGTATTCTACAAGCATCCAGAAAGTACGAGGTCCGAATCCAGAAGAGAATCAGGATCCCGGACTAGGGGTCCGGGACCGAGCCCTGGTCCTAGTCGTGGTCATTAAACGTTACAAATAATGCGTATTTATACATTTTGCTCGAATAGGAAACAGCATCGAAGTCTGTGACATTGATAGTTAAGACGACCAATAGGAAGCAACATTTGAAGTGACATTGATCGTCAGGACGACCAATAAGAAACAACATTGAAGTACGTGAGATTGATAGCTTGGACGACCATAAAATTGACCAGTAGGAATTGACCAATAGGCATCTTAGGTTATTGGATGAATAACTTAACACATTATTATATAAATGATTTTGTAATTATATATATCATACACTAAATACATATATTTTCTGTTATTTTCAGAGAATCAATTATACATCTTACTCTTATGTTTTTTGGTTTAACTTCAATGGCCATTGTCTCATATGCAATGGATTGAAATTACAAAGTATAATATTTTTTGATAAAAACCAATAAGCTACAACGCTGTGTGACATAACAACGATTACATCATATATATATATATACATAGATTCGTAAAAACAACAAACCAGTGGAAGAATACTGATCATTGCGGAAAAAAAAACCCATATCCAAAAGACTTTGGAATTTTTTAATCCGGTTGCTACATTTACCCCCAGCCATCCTTCCCATACCATTTTCATTTGACTTCTTTTATTCATCTAACTAATATTGTTATTGTAGTAAGGACAACAAAACATCCGTTTTAATGAGCATCATCACTACTGTGAAACAATTTTTGCGCCATTCTCAACTTCCATTTTTATTTGAATTTTATTTTTTTTTTGTTTTGCATTTTTCTCATTTGTGCATTCGCTTCGGCTTTCAATTTTTTTAATTTTATTCTTTCGTATACACGATCATCATTTTATCGATTGTTTCATTCATATTGTGACACCTATGTGTCCGTTTTTATCTCCTGTGTACACACATCCTTTGTATAATTGATATGAAAATAACATCTTGTAAGCCAATATTAATTATAAATATATATATATTGTAAGATTTGTATTATTTTAAAAATAAATTGAATAAAGATGAATTTTTTTTTATTGTATTGTATAGTGTGTAACAATGTGTTGTAAACTTGCATTATCTGTTCGTAATATTATTATTATTATTATTACGATTGATGAAATTTATTGTTTTAATTTCAAACAGTATAGAAAATCACTTTTTTTTAGTCAACTCTAAATCGATATTGTTCAATTATTTTATGATAATAAATAATATAAAAGTGATTAATTTCTTTTTCTCAATCATTTTACAAAATGTCAAGGAACTAATGTAGGGTTCGTCACTAGGTACGCTTGAAGCTATTACGAGTTCACCTTAGTCGATAAACGCGAACGAGACAATTACCAGAGTCCAGGTAGGCTACCTTGAATCCCAAGCTGAAGATAGAAGTCTTGATATAGCGTAGAAAGTATATTCTACAAACACCCAGCAATCACACATTACAATCAAGCATACAACTCTCGTTTATTTATACATCATAGAAACGTCCTTGGGACAGTTACGAAAATAGAACACTAAAATGACACAGTAACCAATCACAGCCAAGGCTTTTCCTGGTGGGAAATGAAATCTCAAGGTCAACTGATCAGCCAGCCCATGCTGGCAAACGTGAAATCCAAAATAAGGCATTTAACAAGCAAGTTTTGGGGATCTAACATTCCCAACAACTAACCTGGTTGGTGAGGAAGATTGAAAATTGATAGTTAGGTAATCTTTTCTTTCTGGTTAATTCTTCGTAAAAAAACAATACACGATTTTATTTTTTCTACTTGAATAATATCAATTTATCAGTGCATAGAAACTTGCGCTATACGAACTACTCTTTTAAAATCTAATTTTTAATGTTATTAGCTTAGAGATATGTAGTTTCATCAGGGCTGATCGCCTGGTGACTGATGGAATCTCAGCACGAATACAGAAAGCTCGATCGGCTTTTGCTAAGTTGCATCCATCTGCTAACCAAAGGACGAGTTTACTGCACGGCAGTTCGCTCCGTCCTACTATATGGAAGCGAAACATGGCCAGTAGGAGTTGAGGATGTTCGTAGGTTATTAGTACGTATTAACAGGTGTCTTTGAAGCATTGCTCGTGTTTCCTAGGACGACCGGGTGAGCAATGTTGTTGTTAGGAAACGAGTACTAGGTAAGGGTGGAAGATCAATTGATGAAGTAGTGAAACTTCATCAGTTGGGGTGGTTGGGACATGTGTTACGAATGCCTAACCACCGACTGCCTCGACGAGATATGTTTTGTGGTGTAGGTGTAGATTGGAAGAAAGCTACGGGTGGCCAAACCAAAACATCGCACAAATCTATGAAGTCATGGACAAGTGCACTGAGTCATGTTGGTAGATGTAGGCTACCTGGTTGGGGCCCGTGAGATGATAGTAATCGATGGTTTGAGACCCTGGATGACATGGCTCGAAATTGTTTGTAATGGCGCAGGTGCATTCATTCTTTGTGCTCTCTCAAGTTCTGATCTTCTCAATTCCTCATCACCTCTATCTTTCGCTTTCTAAATTTATTTAACTGGGTTATACCTCTTGAATAATTTCTTTGAACGAAACCTAATCTTCTCCATTACCGCTAGTACTTCTACTATCTCTAGTCCTATGAGATTTCAACAGTTGCGTCTCTGTGCTAATGTGGTATGGCAACCTGAACTGATGTACTTGCGTACGAAGTTCTACGTTGTCACTGACTAGATATATGTGATTTCGTCACCATACTATTCTTGTACGTCAGTCATGATCATAAAATAAACACCACATAGTTGAATGTGTTCACCATGAATACATGTTCAGGAAAAAATCCAACTAGCTTGTAAAAACATTGTGTTTAACTTGATGTAACTGATATGCTTTCTTCAACTGATTGGCTCTAATCCATGAGTTTGCGAGAAAAAAAAACCCAGCCGAATTTCATTTTTATTCTGTGCTTCCTTTTCCTTTCATAAAGTATACTCATTTCAAGGAACAATCTCTTCCGTTCAATCTAAGTTGATTTGTTTTTTCTCAAATATATTGAATGGTGATTGAAAATTAAGTGTTCTAATCAAGAAATAGACTTGAAGTAATCGACCTGAATGCAATTTCGTGAAAGCTTTATAACATATCAGGCAACTGCTACACTTTTAGTTATGATGAAGCCCAGTTATTTTATAGGATGATATTTTAAGAAAATGCTCTGAATTCCATTATTCTAATTTGTTTTAAATAATACTTCTGGAAAATATTGATCATTTAACATAACAGTCATTTAAGAAATATCGATAAACTAATTGAATTCACTGTATAACAGACAGATCAAGTAGTTTAGTAGATAGATAGCATAGTATACTTCATTGACATTTATTGTGCTTTTGATTATCATCAAACTGAAAATCAAACATTCAAAAAGTTCCTTTTTCATTGTTTCTCTTAAGAACAAAAACATTGTTCAAAGGTCAAATGAAATTTCGCTTAATAGTATTACATCTATACATGTATATATGGTCATGTTGTTAAGTTGTAAAATTTTGAAAAATAAACACTTGGTGTAAAGTCGAATCATATATATATTTTAAATCATTTATCTTATAACTAGTAAATGCAAACAAATGATATCAAGTGTTACTACTAAAGAGTTATTATTGAGATACTATTTGTATTCTTTCTGTAAGTCTTAACTGAAGTATTTTTCAGTCATTCAAAATGTCACATGCATGCATCGGTTCAAGTTGTCATACCACATCAGTTAGCACAACGTATTGACAAAGTAGCAGAAATATTTTTTAATATCAGTGATACTAGGAAGGTTAATGCACTATTTACTCTTCATTCTACGGTATTAGCTATCACTTTTGATGTGTGTATTTCTTAAGCTTACATTATTAATGCAGTTGAAAATAATTCCTCCTCTTTGTCAGTCAATTAGCTGCAACGTAGAACTCGGTACGTATTTACATTTATTCAGGTTACCATACCACATTAGCACAAAGAGAAGTGATTCTCAGTTCCAACCATATAGTAGTAGAGGTTGTAGCAATATTAATGAAAGTGGAAAAGATTAGGGGTGAAAGATATGACTGGAGAAATATAATCCAGTGTAGCAAATTTAAAAAGAGATAAAAAGATGATGAGGAATTCAGACGATTAGAATTTGAGAGAGCACAACGAATGGATGCATCTACGCCAACACAAACAACATCTCTCGTCGAGATAGTCGGTGGTTGAGGATACTCGACACATATTCAAACCATCTCAACTGATAAAGATGCACTAACTTGCCATCCTCACCTAATACCTTATTCTTAACTAGCATTCGTTACTCAATGGTCTCAGAATACAGGGGAAATGGTTCAAAGATGCCGGTGATCGGATACTAGTAACGTGCATATATCCTCTGATCTTAGTGCCCATGTTTCACACCCGTAAATTGGAACGGAGCGAACTATTGCACAACGGTCAATATGCTCAACTGCTTCACTCTCTATCACTAGTTCAGGTACCGATGGAAGCCCATCTTGAAACCACAGTTTGCATTTCGAGGGTGAGAAACGCATCTCGAACATGCTTGCATTGTTGCTTAGGGTATTTAGAAGAATTTCAATTTTTTCACCGTCTGCACCAAATAAGGATACCTAATCGGCATATTCTAAGTTGCCAAGTGAATTTCCTGGTAGAAGGTCAATTCCTGAAAAGTCAGATGATGAAAGTGTAGTATATAAAAGTATGTGAATCAAATAAGAATGGATGAAGTAGATAGCCCCGACGAACACCACCAGAAGTAATCAGTTCTGATGACAGTTTACCATAAGCTCTAACTCAACTAGCAGTGTTCGAATCGGGAGCGAGTATGTTACTGTACTTCTTTGGAATTGCTCTCACTCACACATTGACAAAGAACCTCACGATAAGTAGAGTCAAATGCCGCCGAAAGGTTAAGGAATACAACCATTGTGCGCGCCGAAATGTGCGTGAATATTCCAGGACCTGACGAAGCGTGAGTATATGATCTATACATCCACGTCCAGGTCTGAAACCAGCCTGGTTTTCTCAAGTTCGCTCTTCATGAGCCCTAGTTAGGCGTCGAAGTATTATCGAGGCTAATATTTTAGACACTCCTGATTCCTTTCTTATAGACTGGGATAATCAGTGATTGAGACCAGCCTGGTGAGATTACGCTCACTTCCCAAATTCTACCTAAGATCTCAGTCGATCTAACTACTAAAAGTGAAACACCAACCTCAAATATTTAAGAGGTTAATCGATCAGTACCTGCTGAATAAGTTTTCAAAGTTTCTTACCTAGTATACCTTATAACGGATTTCTTAATAAATGATTCCGACAATCTGTTTGTTTATCATTGTCTTTCTCATTAGTTCCTGGACAAACGATGACAGCTGTTTACTTGACTTGTCTGATATAAATAATACTCCTTGAGGTTTTGTTCAGTATGTTACTATATCCAATAAATTATTTCTTAGTGTTAGAAAATATACTTCAAGTGTGATTTACACGATAAAGTGATGTCCATTTAAAAACTGTTGAAAGTCAAGCTAATTTTATAACCCTTAATACTATACAATCATGATTCAACACAATAAAGAACGCGAGACTCACTATAAGAATAATACTTTTTGGATACATTACAGATTATCGTTTAGACTAATTTTAGATATTGTCAGTTGAATAGCTTAGACAAATTCAAAATCATCAAATGCGTTTATTATTTTCCATCTTTTAATAATTTTTCTCTGATGTTTAAAGCTTTATATGTATTTTAATTAAACTCCCCATAACACATGAGCATGATGCGATAGAAGTCGAAATAATTGTAGTAGCAATGATATCCCAGAAAGGATAAACACTGAAATTATGGATGGCGAACATATATATGTGAAAAATACTGTAACTGAAGATCTCATTATGCCATGAACGACGAACAACTTGGCACACATATTTATCAGTTCTAGTGTACTCATGCCACATTCACACAACAAGATAGAATTATCAAGACAAACTCCAGAATAACAGAAGTAGTAACGAGCAAATGCATTTGCACAATTATGATCGATTTTCAATATTCATTTGAAAATAGACTTTGATATGTCGACGAAGAAAAACTATAGTTTGAGACATTGTATACGTGTTGTTAGAAGTAATTAACAAATCCCAAGGTTGTAGTAGTGTGAGTC